TGTAATCGTGATGTGCTCAAACCGCCTCAAATCATGACTTTAGATAACAACAGGGTTTAGTCATCATTAGGATTCTGGGCGACCCACCAATTTGGGCGACGACTCCTTCGCTCTGGGCGTCCATAGGGTACTTTATTCGCTCAACATCTGAACGTTCTGCAAGTTTGGGCGATGGTGTTTCTTTGTTTGTGGGCTTTTACATTTTTCAATAATATTATTTGCTTGGGCTTTCATCTTGGATTCCCAACTGGGCTTCGCTTTTTGGGCCATTTAATTTGGGCTGCACTTTTTGTGTGTCAACAGGTTTCAAGTGTGAGATCAAATTTGTTGATTTTAACAAACATCTCCTAATGATAGTTTTCGTGGATATGGAATACTAGCGAAGAGAGAGAGAGTGTGTGTGTATTTATTCAAAGCGAGAATAATTTATTTGATTTATTTTTGAAAATGTACTAATTAAATAATAAAAAAAAATGACAAGTCAAAAAAATAGAAAATTTTCAGATTTTACAGTTGGTGGATATTAAAATTAGATTTTTAGTAGATTGCGAAAGAAATTTTTGAAGTGTGTAGTTGAAAAGTTATGGGACTCATGAAAGATGTAGTTAATATTGTGTTTGACGTTAATTTAGATTAAAATCTGATTTTAATCCGAAATAAACGGGACCTAAAAGTCGGCCCTCAACCCAATTTTGATATTTTAGAAACTATTTTTTAACTCACACGTGGGCCAACCCATATAGACCACAACACCAAAGTGCAGTCCCTCGCTCTTCGGTCACAAGATCTCTCTCTCTCTCTCTCTCTCTCTCTCTTTCTGTGTGTGTATGTTTTGCCACTACTCATTGTTATAGATTTATGCCTTCTCTTTCATGGTTTATATAGTCTTATTTGTTTTAGAGGGTTAATCATTCCATTAAGAGATTCAGTTATGCTACAGGCAAAAATTGACTGAAATTTTACAAAACAATATTTCACTAATTTTGGACCCAATAAGGTAGAAAATGAACCACACATAACAAAAATGTTGCCAGTATGGTTTCTATTCTAAGAGATTAAGACAATCTTAATTAACCAATTAGCTATAGCAAAATGCTTATTGCACGGTGAAAGAGGAAGATATTTATTTTGTAATATATTGTTTAAAAAAGTCGTAACATTTTCAAAATTTTGG